GCACAAAAAAAAAAAAAAAAAAAAAAAAAAAAAAAGAGGGGGTGGGGGGCAGCTCCACTCGGCCCACCCATTCGGTACAGTCTAGCCCCATAAAAAGAGCTCAGCGCTGGGGAGGGGGGTTGACGTGGATTACAAAGGCGGTGTGAGTTGTAGGAGGGTGGACGTTCGGGTTTGTGGGGGAGAGGAGGGGTAACTCGGTAGGCTCTCGTTTTCAACTTTAGCTCTTAGTCGTCGTCCTCGTCATCGTCCTCGTCGTCCTCATCCTCTGGGTCTCGCTTTCTCTTCTCGCCTTTGCCGGTTTCTGCTTCTGAAGGTAAAGAAGAAAACTGTTGTGACAAGGAGCCAAAACTACACAAATTCTTGCATCTGCAAGCATGAATACAGTAATCCTCCACCCATTTTAAACAGATTCAATCTCTGCATTTATCACACTCTGTGGGAGTCGCTTAATAATGGTCGCTATCACGTTGCTGTCCCTACATGTTATAACGACGCGTGATTACGAGCACAAAATAAAGCGGAAGAAATGCATCTTCAGTCCCGCCCTCGTGCAAGATTTTGTTTTTAGTTAAGTGACTAACATTCTCACATCACATGTTATTTGGGATTGACTGAGCACTACTGTTATTTTAGTTATAAAGATAAATGTCAGTAACAGGTGATCACTAAAGCAGTAATCTCTAAACAGATGCAACATCAAGAAGACAAGGTAGATCTATTTTCTGTGTACCAGGTGAAGGGTTCCCACATTGCTGACGGAGTCGTGAAGAACTTTGGGGACTGCCCTACATGGTGTAACAGCTGGTGTTGTATCACTTGACAACTCAAGTCAAGTCATGCATGTAAATATGTTTCAAGTGTTTTTCAATTCTTTGTTTCAAAATTGATTGACATTTTTGGAACATTTCTGATGTTTTTAATGCTTTCTAACAGTTGGGTATGATCTATAAGTTAATAATTTTCCATTGTTTTATGCACTTTTCCAAGACATAAGTCTATTTTATTTCCATCTTACAGAACAAAGAAAAACAACAAGTTGTCTCACCCCTGAATTAAGTCTCAGTCTTGAGTTGTGCAGACATATCGAGAGACTTCGACTGACTCTTGTAGTGATGTTTGAGCCAAAATTGTGAGTAAATTTACTTTAAGAAGTTACATACCATCTTCATCTTCGTCCTCGTCTTCATCCTCTTCATCTACTTCTCCATCCTGACCAAAGTCTTCCTCCTATGTGAACAACATTTTACACGTTAAAAAAAAAAAAATGAGACGGTGCATCGACCCGCTTTAACGACAGCTCCACCAAGCTCGTTTCACTTTTCACCTCATCTTCACCACTGCCTTCCTCGTCATCCTCCTCTCCTTCTACCTCCTCTT